GAACATTTGGCCTACCCAGTCTGTGTCTCAGCGCTTTTACTCCAGGGGTTTTTTTTCCAGGGGATGACATAACATCCTCCTTCTATCGTAATGTTCTCTACTTGCTGTATACACTGGTCTTAACCCTGTTCTCTCTCCCTTCCGTGTGCTGAACAATGACCAGGCTTGTGTTCAGTAGACCCAAAACAGGATAAAACATTGTGAAATAAAGTGAAACAGGGAGGTATTACTTGAACTTGAGCAATAAGATCACAGATTTGACATGTTCTGTTGCAAAATGTTTTGCTACGGTGTGCCAACTGAACATGATCCATTCTGAATGCCCATTTCTATAGCATGTAAACCAGCCAGACCGAACTAGCTTATTCCACACTGAACCACTTTCTATTGGATGTGGTTACCCTTAATCTTACTTTGATAAGGCGGGCCACCAAGATCCGCCAAGCAAAACACATCTCACCTGCCGTAGACTAACTTTCACCGGGTACACGATATCCGACCCCTCCCTCCTAAAATGTGCGTGTGGCTTGTCCTTGATGAGGAACACGATATCAGCAGGGATGGTGTTGGGCGATTCGTCCCCTTCTCTGGGGAACGTGATCTTGGTTCCTTCCTTCCATCCTCTCTTAATCTCTATGGTGAGTATTTTATCCTCCGTCCTCATGGTCCGTCCGTCTGGGTTCATCCTCTTCCTGCTGATCTTCATCCTCTTGGTGCAACCATGAAACACTTCCTCCAGTGTTACCCGCAGCTCGTGATGGATGGCCGGGTCCTGCTTCCTCCTCTGCTGCCCGCCAATCCCCACGTGGCGGTCCCGAGGGAACCCGTTGAGATTAAACGAGGTGAATGAACCGAACGGGTCGTTGCCGTCCACCTCCATGTCCTCGTCGTCCCCGCCGCCCGGACCGCGCCCGTTGGCCTTGCGGCCGAAGAACATCTCGAAGGGGTTGGCGCCGCCGAAGAAGGTGGCGAAGGTGGCGTGGGGGTCACCGTGGAACGTGTAGGAGGTGAAGTTGCTGCCCTGTCCGTCTGGATCGCTGCCTGGGCCACCGCCTCCTCCTTTGAGACCTGAGGGACAACAGGGGGAACAAGGATACTGAAGTCATCAACGGTTCAGATAATGATGATAACCTATGTTTTGATGGGGGGGACACTGGAGTCATCAACAGTTCAAATAATATAGATGTACTGCACCAGACATGGGTCAAATATCTTTTAAATCCTTGAGCTGTGCTTGAGTTTGCCCGGTATAATAGAACCAATTGAATAGTCCCAAAAGTGCAACCTCCTAAATCAACTGCTCTGAACGTATCGTGTCTGTGATCTGTACAGTCACAGAATAACCATGCAGACTGTACCACACAGGGAAAGGGTTGCAATCCTACATTGATGCTGCTCTGGTCAAACAGTAAGTTCATAAACCTACATTGATGCTGCTCCGGTCAAACAGTAAGTTCATAAACCTACATTGATGCTGCTCTGGTCAAACAGTAAGTTCATAAACCTACATTGATGCTGCTCTGGTCAAACAGTAAGTTCATAAACCTACATTGATGCTGCTCCGGTCAAACAGTAAATTAATCTGCCACACGGGGCAGGTCAGTGGATTCTTCCCACCATGGCAAATCCGCTCTTTCCCAACTGCTATTTGAAAGGGATTTATGATGCCTTCGGCTGGTAACATTACCCATGTTTGACGTGTTCAATATCAATTAATGTAATTGACAGTAGCCTAAAACTAATACAATCTGACATATACTGTATTTCTGACCAACCAAGAGCCATGTCTGCATATTATGGGCTGTATGCCACCCTGACAACAGGGGGAAATGTCTGCTTATTGTCTTATTATTATCATACATTGTATGAATAAATAAAATTGAGTGAACTGCTGTGGTCTCCTCTAACCAGTGGGGGTCAAATGTCGGTCTGTATGACTTGTATAATGGCCAATTCTATTATACGCACAGCAATATTTTCTGCCGTGTGCTAAATTATGGAGTGGATGAAATGACAAGTAACCCGGGCATTAATAAAACATCTGAATAAAATGACCACAATGAAAGGTGGAGAGTGTCATATCCTACCTTCTTCTCCATACTGATCATATATCTCTCTTTTCTTCGGATCACTGATGACTTCATATGCCTCGGCGATCTCCTTAAATTTCTCCTCGGCGTTGGCCGCCTTGTTTTTGTCCGGGTGCCATTTCAGAGCCTGCTTTTTGTATGCCTTTTTAATGTCCTCGTCAGCCGCTCCTTTCACTATCCCCAGGATTTTATAATAATCTTTCCCCATAGTTCCCCCGAAGCGGCCCCGCGCAGGAGCTGAAGAGAACCCGCAGCTGTTCTACGGAAGCTGCCTGTCAGTCTGATAGGGAAATATATCCAGGAGAGGAGAGACCAGAGAGAGACCCCTCTGAGGAAGCTGCCTGTCAGTCTGATAGGGAAATATATCCAGGAGAGGAGAGACCAGAGAGAGACCCCTCTGAGGAAGCTGCCTGTCAGTCTGATAGGGAAATATATCCAGGAGAGGAGAGACCAGAGAGAGACCCCTCTGAGGAAGCTGATATGGCGGCAAGCGAAAAAACCTAACCGCTGCTCTCTGCCACTCACAAACAACAATAGCTAGACACGGAGACAGTTGAACAGTGAGAAGCTAGAGAGAGAGGGATGTGATGTAGCGATGTTCAGAGTGGTTATTCAGCGCTGTGGATCCTGGGTTATTTATCCACCACCCTCCCCGGATAGACTGTGTCTCCCTCCCCTGCGTCCGACCCACCGGCCTGCGCTGCTCGCTGTAATCCAGGGGCTCATTCTAGAACCTAAATGCTGCTGAGGCACGTCATTTCCCATATTAGGCAAAGATTCCGTTTTTTTTCTTCTTTTTTAAAAATTCTGTTTAAACACCCATCCACATGGAATTGACATCCCAACCTGAGTGGAAAAACATGGTAGCCTACAGAAAATAGTAATTACATTGTAACAGCCGTGACAGGTTATTATAAGCCCTATAGTAAAGGGCTGTGGTTTGGTTAGACGAGGACAAGACAGGGAGTCAGTATAATTTCAATGGAGAAATAGCCTCAATTTGGTGCCTTTCTGTTCAAATCATCAGCTGTGGAGAGGAGGGGATCCACATCCAGAGGATAGGCCTCCTGTCCAGGCTTACAGCCAACACTTGAGCCTGACACTAACCTCTGGCCGATAGGCTTACTAACCCTAAACCCTAAACCCTAAACCCTAACCCCCCACTGACTGTCCTCCGGTTCGAGCCGAGGTAGACAGAGCTACATGACCTCTGGCTCATACGATGAGTCTTGTATCCCAAATGGCACACTAGACCCTATATAGTGCACTGCTGGTCTAAAGTAGTGCACTATATAGGGAATAGGGTGCCATTCTCTGGTCTAAAGTAGTGCACTATATAGGGAATAGGGTGCCATTCTCTGGTCTAAAGTAGTGCACTATATAGGGAATAGGGTGCCATTCTTTGGTCTAAAGTAGTGCACTATATAGGGAATAGGGTGCCATTCTCTGGTCTAAAGTAGTGCACTATATAGGGAATAGGGTGCCATTCTCTGGTCTAAAGTAGTGCACTATATAGGGAATAGGGTGCCATTCTCTGGTCTAAAGTAGTGCACTATATAGGGAATAGGGTGCCATTCTCTGGTCTAAAGTAGTGCACTATATAGGGAATAGGGTGCCATTCTCTGGTCTAAAGTAGTGCACTACATAGGGAATAGGGTGCCATTCTCTGGTCTAAAGTAGTGCACTATATAGGGAATAGGGTGCCATTCTCTGGTCTAAAGTAGTGCACTACATAGGGAATAGGGTGCCATTCTCTGGTCTAAAGTAGTGCACTATATAGGGAATAGGGTGCCATTCTCTGGTCTAAAGTAGTGCACTATATAGGGAATAGGGTGCCATTCTCTGGTCTAAAGTAGTGCACTATATAGGGAATAGGGTGCCATTCTTCTGGTCTAAAGTAGTGCACTATATAGGGAATAGGGTGCCATTCTCTGGTCTAAGTAGTGCACTATATAGGGAATAGGTGCCATTCTCTGGTCTAAAGTAGTGCACTATATAGGGAATAGGGTGCCATTCTCTGGTCTAAAGTAGTGCACTATATAGGGAATAGGGTGCCATTCTCTGGTCTAAAGTAGTGCACTATATAGGGAATAGGGTGCCATTCTCTGGTCTAAAGTAGTGCACTATATAAGGAATAGGGTGCCATTCTCTGGTCTAAAGTAGTGCACTATATAGGGAATAGGGTGCCATTCTCTGGTCTAAAGTAGTGCACTATATAGGGAATAGGGTGCCATTCTCTGGTCTAAAGTAGTGCACTATATAGGGAATAGGGTGCCATTCTCTGGTCTAAAGTAGTGCACTATATAGGGAATAGGGTGCCATTTGGTACAAGGTTGATAGCCTGATCTGAATGAACTATGACCTACACTCAGTAAACCAAACATTAGGAATGTTGCCCTCAGAACATCCTCAATTCATCTGGGCATGGACTCTACAAGGTGTCGAAAGCATTCCACAGGGATGCTGGCCCATTTTCAGAACAGCCTCAATTCATCGGGGCATGGACTCTACAAGGTGTCGAAAGCGTTCCACAGGGATGCTGGCCCATGTTGACTCCAGTGCTTCCCACAGTTCTGTCAAGTTGGCTGGTTGTCCGTTCAAAGGCAATTCAATATTTTGTCTCGCCCATTCACCTTCTGAATGACACACACACAATCCGTGTCTCAATTGTCTCAAGGCAAGAAAATAATTATTTAACCTGTCTCCTCCCCTTCATCTACACTGATTGAAGTGGATTTAACAAGTGAAATCAATAAGTGATCAAAGCTTGCACCTGGATTCACCTGGTCAGTCCATGTCATGGAAAGAGCAGGTGTTCTTAATGTTTCGTACACTCAGTGTATATCCTACTATATGACCCCCAGACACTGACCTCTGTCCCCTCCCCGACCAACTCTCTATCTCTGGACCATTCCAACATGTCAGTGTCTTGATCCTGAAACAATATGACCTTTGATAACAGACAGCGTGAAGCATTAGAACGCCCAGCCTACCTACAGTTGAAGTCAGAGGTTTACATACACCTTAGCCAAATACATTTAAACTCAGTTTTTCACAATTCCTGACATTTAATCCTAGTAAAAATTCACTGTCTTAGGTCAGTTAGGATCACCACTTTATTTTAAGAATGTGAAATGTCAGAATAATAGTAGAGAGAATGATTTATTTCAGCTTTTATTTCTTTCATCACATTCCCAGTGGGTCAGAAGTTTACATACACTCAATTAGTATTTGGTAGCATTGCCTTTTAAATTGTTTAACTTGGGTCAAATGTTTCGGGTAGCCTTCCACAAGCTTCCCACAATACGTTGGGTGAATTTTGGCCCATTCCTCCTGACAGAGCTGGTGTAACTGAGTCAGGTTTGTAGGCCTCCTTGCTCGCACACGCTTTTTCAGTTCTGCCCACACATTTTCTATAGGATTGAGGTCAGGGCTTTGTGATGGCCACTCCAATACCTTGACTTTGTTGTCCTTAAGCCATTTTGCCACAACTTTGGAAGTATGCTTGGGGTCATTGTCCATTTGGAAGACCCATTTGCGACCAAGCTTTAACTTCCTGACTGATGTCTTGAGATGTTGCTTCAATATATCCACATAATTTTCCTTCCTCATGATACCATCTATTTTGTGAAGTGCACCAGTCCCTCCTGCAGCAAAGCACCCCCACAGCATGATGCTGCCACCCCCTGTAACACTCTGGCTCCGGGACTTTTGTATTTGAGCCAGGGTGTATTGTGTTTTGTTGGGTTTTGGGTATTTTCTATGTTGGTAGTTCTGTTGTGTGTGTTTCTAGGTTTGGTCATTGACTCCCAATCGGAGGTAACGAGTGTCAGCTGTCGGCTCGTTATCTCTGATTGGGAGCCATATTTATTCTGTATGTTTTCTTGTGGGCATTGTGGGTTATTGTTCCGTTTCGGTTAGTTAACCGTGGACTTCATGAGTCGTCTTTTGTTTTGTATTTTGTGCGTCATCTATTAAAGTCATGTTCGTTCAACGCGCTGCGCTTTGGTCTCCTTCACTCCTAGACGATCGTGACACCCCCGTGCTTCTTGGCTGATTTCTTTTGATTTTCCCAGGATGTCAAGCAAAGAGGCACTGAGTTTGAAGGTAGGCCTTGAAATACATCCACAGGTACACCTCCAATTGACTCAAATGATGTCAATTAGCCTATCAGAAACTTCTAAAGCCATGAAATCATTTTCTGGAACTTTCCAAGCTGTTTAAAGGCACAGTCAACTTAGTGTACGTAAACTTCTGACCCACTGGAATTGTGATACAGTGAATTATAAATTAAATAATCTGTCTGTAAACAATTGTTGGAAAAATTACTTGTGTCATGCACCGACTTGCCATAACTATAGTTTGTTAATAAGACATTTGTGGAGTGGTTGAAAAATGAGTTTTAATGACTCCAACCTAAGTGTATGTAAACTTCTGACTTCAACTGTACGTCACTGAACAGCGAATTATAGGGAGTTAGATTGGAATGGTTTTTTTGTCATGGGTCAAGTTGTCAAGTTGCCATGGTCTATTTTTATTTGGGACCTCCCTCATCTGAAATATACTGAACAAAAATATAAACTCAACATGCAACAATTTCAAAGATTTTACTTAGTTACAGTTCATATAAGGAAATCAGTCAATTGAAATAAATTATTTAGGCCCTAAGCTATGGATTTCACATGACTGGGCAGGGGCGCAGCCATGGGTGGGCTTGGCTCTCAAGTGGGTGGGCCTATGCCCTCCCAGGCCCACCCATTGCTTACGCCACTGCATGCCAATTGCAGAACTGTATATTACACAGGTGTGGAATTGTGTTGTGTGACAAAACTGCACATTTTAGAGTGGCCTTTTATTGTCCCCAGCACAAGGTGCACCTGTGTAATGATCATGTTGTTTAATCAGCTTCTTGATATGCCACACCTGTCAGGTGGATGGATTATCTTGGAAAAGGAGAAATGCTCATTTTACATTTTAGCAGACGCTCTTATCCAGAGCGACTTACAGTTAAGTGAGTGCATACATTTTCATACTGGCCCCCCTGGGAATCGAACCCACAACCCTGGCGTTGCAAGCACCATGCTCTACTAACTGAGCTACACAGGACTTGCTTCCATTCAGCCACAAGAGCATTAGTGAGGTCGGGGCACTGATGTTGGGCGATTAGGCCTGGCTCGGAGTCGGCGTTCCAATTCATCCCAAAGGTGTTCGACGGGGTTGAGGTCAGGGCTATGT